TTTATTTATAATTTATTCCAAGCATTTCATTAACTGCCATAATTGTAATTAAAACTCCCTATTAATAGCATAGCAATCACCTCATTTCTTTTGGTTGCCATTCCCCTAAAATTGCAACAACAAAAAAAAAGAAGTAAATTACGTATCCAATAATGTACATATGAAAAAATAGGTTCATTAAAAAAAATGTTTTTCAAAAAACAAATAATAAATAAATTATCAAATTATTTTTTAACATAATTAGAATGTACACTATTATTCATAAAACTATAATAAAATAGAATACTAGTCGTATAATTCATAAAAGGAAAACAACATTAATTCCTAAATTTAATATTGAATTTAAATTACTAATAAGTTAAATAGATTACTGGTTGTAATTCATAAAAGGAAAACAACATTAATTCAAAAATAGATTACTAATACTTTAATATGGAATTTAATATTTAATTTCAAATAAGTTTCTAAATTAATTCCTACATCCATTACAACTATTTGGAGATCTTTCCAAATTCAACGTGTCATTAGTTACACCCTCTCATAACACATTAACTTATAAATATGGGTAGGTTTGGAATCCGAAAAATACAATAAATCAGATTTTAAGTTATATTAGGTAACTTGCTTAGTTGGATCCTAGTCATCGGGTATTATTTGAAAAAATTGGGTATTTTAAATAGAAAACTAAAGGAAAGGGTTGTAAGTGATTTAAAATGAATTTTATGGGTCTAAGCTCAATTTACTATTAAAAGATTTGTTCAAACCCAAAGGAGGGCCACGTGGCCTTCCGACCAATAGCTTTACAAAGTGGTTAAAAGATTTGCCTAAACCCAAAGTGGTTAAAAGCAAAGCCATAGGCTTCAGATTTTGAGTTTTTATCAAAAATAGCCAAAATTTACCATATACTTTCATAAATGTCCATTTTGGTAAAAACTTTCAAAAATAGCCAAAAACTCACGTAAATAGACTCAAATGCCCTCAAAACCTAAACCCACATAAACCTAACAAGCAAAAGAAACTCAAAATCTGAAGAGGATATTCCAAAATAATTTTTTTATAAATGAAATCATTTAAGAAAACCAAAGCTACATGAAGCAAAACCAATGGCTGAAGGAGCCAACAAAAGGGGGATCCCCCAAACAATTACAAACAAAGAAAGCCCTGCAATAACGCAAGGGCACCGATAGTACAACAAACCGAAGGCAAGGAGCCTATCAGACCAACGAAGAAAGTATAGCTACAGATTGAAGAATTATGCAACTACAAAACAAACAAAAAATTCCTTTTAAATTTTCGACTTGTTGAAATTTTTTTTTTTCTCACTAGTAAAATTTAATTCCCTTTACTTGAATGTTTATTTACGAAATCCATAGATAAAATGAACAACTATAACTTTAATTATTGTTTGGCAACCAAGAGTATGCAATAGTGATGCACAGTCACCAAAAGAATTCAAATGTTTGATGCTTTACAATGAGGAGTCCTGCCGCAAGTAACTTGGTGTGCTTGTCTCCTTGCGAATCTGCTGCACACACGAAGGGTAGAGGTCTGCCAAACAATTGTTAGAATAGGGTTTTGCTTTTTAGGTTTATGTGGGTTTGAGTTTTGAGGGCATTTGAGTCTATTTACGTGAGTTTTTGGCTATTTTTGAAAGTTTTTATCAAAATGGACATTTATGAAAGTATGGGGTAAATTTTGGCTATTTTTGATAAAAACTCTCAGATTTTCTACCTCCACACAGAGAATAACAAATGACTTCATAGGCAACCCATATAAACGATACACAGCCTGAAAATTTCGGCTAGTAGTACAGTAGAACGCTTTAGTATCATCTGGAGACTGAAACCACTACACAAAAATAATTCCTATCAAGTCTTGTTTCTCTTACACTGTTCACAAGTGTCAAGAGTATATTTTAACAACCTTTGCTAAACGAAAAAATATATATATTATCCTTCTACTCTTCTGTTCAATTACTGGTTGAAACTAGAAGCCGACCAAGAATGGAATATAAAGAAAAGCCTCACTGGCGGCAGGATTGAGTGCTAAGAATTCCACCAGTCCTGCGACTTCTTCAGGTCGACCATATCGCCCTGAAAGAATTATAAAACTGATTTATTTTCTCTAATTTATATGTAAGTCTTCAAATATCAGGCTTTAAGTTTAGGCAAATCAGGGAAGAAGAATTAGAGAATCAATCAAATTTCAATAATCCCAATCCAAAGACTCAATAACATTTATATCTCTCATCTAAGTTATATAACCAACACGAGCAGTTTCTCAATAATTCACATTAACTATGATGGATTTTGATAATAATGCTTAAATAACTAGTAGCCAACTGACTATTCTCACCTAGGGGGATGGTTCCCAAGATCTTCTTTTCTATGTCTTCTCCAAGCTTGGCAGTCATATCAGATGCAATGAAACCAGGTGCTACAGCATTCACCTATGGAAAAAAGAAAGCTTTAGATGGATAACTGCTTTAGGCCCACCATGCAAGACTGGAAATATGCTAGAAATTTAAAAATATATCTGCTTGAACGTTTAATGTCATGAAACAAACCACATAGCCATTGCTAAATGTGGAGTGGGGTTACACGTATTAGCAGGCAAGCCCCACACGCCAAAAACAGATTATAAAATTAATTAATTAAAAACCTTGAATCACATGCACATACATTAATGCTCCGGCTTGAATATTCCTTTGCAACACTCTTCGTAAAGCCAATTACTCCGGCCTTTGCAGCACTGTAGTTGGCTTGTCCAACATTGCCAACAAGACCAACAACAGATGCTATATTGATTATTCTTCCCTGAAATATGATGAACAGACTAAGGATCTAGAAGCAAAATAGGATTTTCACATTGACATGATAAAAGAGAGGAAGAAAGAATTTGATTACCTTTCTCTGTTTCATCATAACTTTCGCTGCAGCCTGCAAAAAGCACGAACCATGCTAAAAAGATCAGACAATTCTAAGCTAGAACAACTACAATTACTAGATCAACATATGCCCTAAACTACACACCTGTGTGCACAGAAACACGCCAGTAAGATTCAAATCAATAACCTCGTGCCATTGGGATGTTTTCATTCTCATCAACAAGCCATCCCGTGTTATTCCTGAAAAGGATTGTGTCAGTTGAAATAGAAAAGAAAGTCAAGATAAGAAGCTTAAATACAAGAAGTAATATGATGCTGACCAGCATTATTAACCAACACATCAACTGTTCCCCATGCATCAACCACCTATATTCATTTGATTGAAAAGATGTCAGGTTGCAAGCGATAATTGCAACCACACACAAAATGTAGTTAGCATAAGAGAGCGCATTTGCGTCCAGTTTTAATCATTGCCGCTACATCTTCTTCCTTTGAAACATCACCCCCAAATGTCAGAGCTTTACCACCAGATGCCTCAATCTGCAGCATTTAAACCGCAATAAAACATGTTTAAAATGCGGGATATAATTAATACCAAACATTTCAACTATGAACTGATTTCAATATATGCATTGCATGAAGTCCATTATTTTAACAAAAAAGGTACCTCCTTGGAAACTAATTCAGCTTCCTTAGATGACCTTGCGTAGTTTACCAGAACCTGTAACAGTGAAATGAAGCCTATGGTCATGACTCATCGAAAAAAGCAATTGAATGATGAATGATGAATGATGACGATAACCTTACAACCAGACTTGCCGAGCGCGAGCGCAACAGCTTTCCCAATTCCTCTAGAAGCTCCAGTGACGATAACCACAGGAGCCTCCACGTTCCGATTATGAGGTACAGCAGCGCTCGATTGATCAACGGCTGCCATATGCGCCCTAATTCCTGCTATTTGATTCCATTTCCATTAAAACATCACCAAATTGTTCTGATGTAAATTTCAATTTACCACAACATGAAAATGCGATTCATTTACCAGAGCCAGAGGAGGAGCTCGAAAATCTGGTCGGGGCAACGCGACGCAGTCGGATCCCGCCAACAAGTGGATAGGAGCTTTGTGGGTGAGATAATTGGTGGAAGAGTCGTACCGGAGCTCCAACGGCGTTGAAGGCGATCGTGGCTGCCATTGAGAGTCTGAGAATGGCTGGTGCCACAGACGAAGAAGAGGAGGAGGAAGAGAGAGAGGCAAGTAAGGTTGCCACTGTCCGAGGACCCTGCCCAAACTAATGGCCATAATTAGCTTGGCCATACATTGCAGATGGCTGAACTTAACAAATGCTTCCATTACTAAAAGTTCCTTGCATGAAACCCAGTTTACATAGCCTTGATCTTCAGCTTAAGCTTCCACATAAAACCCTAAAATCAATATGAAGCATATAAACCCTTCCTCTTTGTGTTGTCTGCCTCTAGTTGGTGCCAATCGGAAGTTCTAAGTTCTAACTCAGCCTGAACTGCGTAAGAATAAAGAAACAGTTACAACTCTTATTTTCCAAAAATTATATATATTTTTCTTTTTTGGGACAAAAATGAATAATCCAAAAATACAATTTTCCCTTTTTTTTCCTTTAAAAAAAATCAAATTTGTTTTTGGAGATAAATATTCATGTTCCCCACAAAATATTTTTTGTTAAATCCTTTTTTTATACTTTGGAAAGATAAATAAATAAATAATTTCCTATGTGACTTGTTAAATCCTTTTTTTTATTATTCAGATTCATTATCGTAAGAAATATGAAAAATGAATATTTAGCTTGAGCATAGTGTAAAACAAAAAAACAAAAAAAGAGATAGACTCTTCAGTTCAGTTTCTTCTTCAGCTAACAGAAAAAACCCTACCAAAGCTTGGGTTTATAGTTTTTATATTAGTTGATAGATACAATTGCAGAGCTCCTTCCCTGATTCTCTTCTAGTAGTCATGATGTCATTGTCTGTTCCTCACTCACTTCCTCGCTCGCCGCCACTCCGTTCGAACCCACCAAGAACTGCTCCCTCGTTCAGTCGATTTCCTCTCTTCCGATGCTCAGCCAATCTCAGAGCCTCCAAAAATAGCCAAAATTCGAGAGTCAATGCTCGCTTCAATGCCCCTCGTCTCCCAGGTACTAATTCTGTGGTTCTGAATTGGGCTTTTCTAACTCAATTTTACTGATGAGTATAATAGTTTTACTGTATGCCCGTGTTTGATATGCGGTGGCTGCCAAAGGTCAGAACTTTCAGCTTCTATTTGCAAATATATACTGCAGAAAACAGAGGGTTCGCGTTTCTTTTTATGAATTGTATAAATTATTATCTTTTTGTTATGGTTCTATGCTGAATTATGAGTCTCAAGTGATGCATACAGTATTGATGACAAAAATTATGTTCATTTGATGTTGTCTGAGTTGATTTTTCTAGGTTTGAAAGGCGTGACTATAACCTTGATTGTGTTAGTAAGTTCCCTACTTAGGAAATGATCATTTTATTTTTTATTTTTGAATTTTTCAAGTTTTTATGAATTGGGAAAGGAAAACTCTTCAAAACCATGCATAGTGCTTCTGTAAGAAAGATACTATTTGTGGTGACTGAAACTTTTAGTTCTAGTGGGTTGGAAAGAGCGGACAATGGTTAGTCAAATTGAGTTGGCAAGTAAAAATTGTTTGTACTGGGGAATGGATAACCTTGACACTCCTCTGTAATGCTGCACATGGATGCATGAATTTAGGGAATCAATTCTAGTTGAATGATATGTGTTCTTGATGCAGTTTATACCAGGATTTACTATTTTAGGAATTGGGCACTTTGGGACACTAGAATACGAGTCTGTTTGGGATTATGTAGAAAGAACTTTTAATCATAAGCGCTTTTGTTTAGGGTTTAGGGTTTGTTTCGAAGTGCATCAATTTTTTCATCAAACATCCAAGTGCTTCCTGGAAATGCATTTGGAAGCTTCTTCTTGAAGAGGATTTTTTTAAGAAAGAGCTACAAAAATGCTTTTATAAACTGGAAGAATGTTTAACTATTTCTACCAAATGCTGTCAAAAGCGCTTTTAGTCCTTCTAAAAACACTGCCAAGAATTCCCTACCTTGAGTATCTATGGTGCTAGCTCTTGACAAAAATCAATACATAAATAAATCTAGATCTTAAGGATATTCTTTATTTTTCCATCACAAGTTTTAATGTATCTTGCTGATTCTATGATGGTGTGTTTCCATCTCGTTGCTGTGCAACTTCTCAATATAGTTTTACTCACATGGGTGTTTCGCTTTATGTTTGTATTACAGTTGCAGAGAAGTTAGAAGTGGAACGTTTTGCGAGCATTTCTTCCTCAAGTAGTCGAGAAACATCTTCAGTTGGTGTCAACCCTCAAATCTCAGTACCACCCCCACCCTCAAATATGTAATAATTTGTTTTTGTTCATTTTATCAATTATTTATTTATAACCCATTGATCTATTCAATAAGCTTTTGCTGTTGCTTTTTCTTTTCTTCTTGTACTTCATAAACATATAATCTTTTCACCTTTATTTATTTATTATTTTATTTTTTAGAGGGTCGCCTCTATTTTGGATTGGTGTTGGTGTTGGGCTTTCAGCACTATTTTCTTGGGTGAGAACAAGATTACTTGCATCTCTTTGTTTGATAAGACATACATTTATTCGACCAGTTCACCTTTTCTGTGTGTTTGACACATTGATTGTAATGACAGGTGGCTACAAACTTAAAGGTGCGTGTTTTCCTCCTAAAATTTAGGGATCTATTTTAGTTCGGATTATTGGATTTTAATAGCTTAGGGTATTTTATTGTTGAGTTACCTTAACATGTTTAATGGTGGTGAAGACGAACCCTAGATATGCGTATTGACATCATAAAGTGATGGACGTTTATCACACTAAACACTCTCTTCCCCTATCTCTCTGTCTCTGTTTGTCTCATTCTATCTGTCTGAAATCTTTTTTCTTCTCTTTCTTTGAAATCTTCTACCTCCCCGCTCTATCAAAATTTGAGAAAGGGCTTTGTAAGAGGACTACAATTAACAAAGGAGATGCATGTGTGTGGGGGGTGTTTTATATCTATAAAATATGCATAGTGCGTAAAGGTTAGAAATTTTGAAAATGATATGAGAACATGATGCAACACCACAAGACATTGGCAAGAAATTGACACAAGATATTGTGTTCCTGCTGTGATATCTTTGTGACATGATGTCATTTCGTGTCCTGTGCATGTTAAAATGTTGACATGACAGTGCACGGAATTGGCACGACAAGAGTTAGAAAGTTCAGATGGAATTGATATGAAATGGTACAAAATTTGACGTGGAATGGAATAACTTTGTGGATGACAACATAGCCCTCTCAGAAAAAGAAAAAAAAAAAAAACTTTGTGTCACTCATAATAAATGAGTCGTGACTGTTCATTTGGTGTGTGGCAGACACAAAATTTAGCCTCACTCTTTTGATATGTTTTCTTTTTTAATCTATCTTTATCTTTTAATCTTCTTTCAGAAATATGCAATGCAACAAGCTTTTAAGACTTTGATGGGCCAAATGAATACACAAGATAGCCAGTTCAACAATGCTGCATTTCCTCCAGGTTCACCTTTTCCATTTCCATCAGCTCCAGCATCAGGGCCTTTTGCCTCACCTTTTCCAGCTACTTCCCAACATTCGACAGTAGACGTATCTGCAACCAGAGTAGATGCAGCACCAGCAGCACCAGCCTCATCAGTCACACAAGCTGCGCAAGCCACACCAGCTACACCAACCATACCAGCCACCCCCGCCACTGATGCCAACAATGACACAGAACTAAAGAAAAAGTCGAACAGCTTTGGTATGGCCTTTAATATATATATCTTCATGCTTTTTCTTTTTACATATTATTTTCCTTTACTTGGATTCGTAATCCATGATATAATTTCCTTTTCCAAAGTTCAGATATATTGGTTGTTGTGAGGTAGAATTTAAAAGTTTAAGCTGCCCAAAAGAGCCATGAAAGTAAAACAGTGAATTCTCTTCTAGAATGGCTTGAACTTTTAAAATTTTGTTTGAAATGTATGTGGGTACTGAAAAGTATCATTTATTGCTGGCTGCAAGAGCACAAGGGAAGTTCTGTGTGATCTCTCTAAATCTGAAATATCATGTATGCTGAGGTTTTTTTATTTATTTTGAGATATCATGTGAGAAAACAGTGATACCTTTTGTTTTGACCAATACATGAAATCATTATTAAGAAATTGTGACCTAACTAGTTGATTTAGAACCATGAAGCCTAGTTGAATACTAGAAGAAGCAGAGGTGGTGAATGTGCCAACCATCATACTTATAAAGATATATGTCTGCATGATGATTTTACTTGTTAAACAAGTAATCTCAAGGCTGATGCCCACCACAACACTTGGTCCATCCATAAAAGGCATGGGTTTTCATTGTTGGGGTTCTGGTAGTACACGGTTTGGATCATTGGATCACATTGCGTGGTGGCCCCAACAATGAGATCCCTTTTGATTCTCCTCACAAGGGATTCTTATTAATAAGGGGACTATATTCATATGTAGTAAATTATATAAAGAAAAATTTACATTGATAACCCATTATATAAAGAAAAATTATATAGATTTCTAATTTTCTATTACATAACTTGGAGCATTACCCTTTACCTAAGTTTTAGTTAAAGGGTATGTAATAGATATCTCTGCTGCAAATCTAAGGCTTGCAAGGCTTGTCAATGTAATCGTAAAAAGTGGTGTTTTTTTTATATGAATTTATGGCATAATGTTTGTTTTCATTTCAAGGGTATGTAATAGATATCTCTGCTGCAAATCTAAGGCTTGGAAGGCTTGTCAATGTAATATGTAAAAAGTGGTGTTATTTTTATATGAATTTATGGCATAATGTTTGTTTTCATTTCAAGCTGATCAAACAGCTAGGAGTATTAAATGGATCCCATTTGATTTTAAACAGAGCTGATCTGATTTCAAGCTGTTTGTGGATGATTTAATGTCAAAAAGTATGGACCAACAAGGGGTTAGTGGAATTAGTCAGGCCCATGGTTTGCTCCCACGGGTTTGATCCGCAATGCAGATTGGGGGATTTCTGGGTATTAAATAAATGTAAAAAAGTATGGTTGACAAAGGATCAAGGTTAAATGCATGATTGTCATGATGTTAGAACTTACAGAATCTTTTTCAAAATGATATTGTGGGCTTGCATTGCAACAGAAGCCTTAGATGTGTCATGTGCAGTTGCAGCCAGCATGTGGTTTGCGTCCTGCTTGCATGCATTCATGTCTGCCTGCACACGTGTATGTTTGTGAAATTGTGGGTGTGTGCCTCGTCTGTATTTGGTGGCTGATCATATGACCTGTCTTATATTGATATATACAGGAATATTGTGAATATCTTAATCGTTTACTGTAGTGAATATCTTAATAATGTATGTTTGTGAAACTATGGCCATCAATACTGCTACTAATTTTTGACAAGCTACTATTATTTGGATGTTTTCTTATGCCAGTTTCCTGTTTGAGATTCTAAGTGTATCTTCTACTCACAGCTTTTGTAGATGTTACTCCAGAAGAAACTGAACAAAAGAGTCCTTTCGAAAGTAGCTTAAAAGATGTTACTGAAATAGGTTCATCTAAGGATTTCCAGAATGACGTGAAAGTGAGTATCTTATAATTGGTCTTTCTGATCATGCTGTGATTGTTTGGAGTTAATGCTCAGATTTAACTATTTGCTAACTTTATGAAGGTTTCTCAGAATGGAGCTGCTTTTAAGCAGGGGTTTGGTGCCTCCACAGGGTCCCAATCTACTGGTAAGTAAAGAGTCAATTGACACTTATGCTGTCCCTCAGTATTCCGGTGCTTGCTTTGCTTTTAGATTTAATGTCAATTTTTTGGTAGTTGTGAAAAAGACTATCTTTATCTAAAGACGGTTGAACTGGTTGTTTTTAAATTCAGCCAGTTTTGTTTAAAGACTATCTTTTCTTCTTTATTACTTGAGATGCATTTGGACGACAGAATATGGATGGAATTTTGACTCAATATATTCTGTAAATCTTCATATCAATTGCAATATTGGGCCAAAGTTTGTCAGTTCTGAAGGTTACACAACTGTGTCGTAAATGGATATGAAACAATCCTTGATTGCATTACTTTGTAATTCTAGTCAGTCTGGCTTGAAGTGGCCATGACTAAAATGCTGTAGTCCATGACTATCTTTGCCTTTCTTTCTCAGTTTTTGATTTTTGTAATCTAATCAGACAGTTTACATATTTTTTTTCATTCATTAATGGATAGGAAAAGCAAATTCTCTATCAGTGGAAGCTTTGGAGAAAATGTTGGAAGATCCGACGGTGCAGAAGATGGTTTATCCGTAATATATCTTTTGTTATCTTTTGTGCTTTCTAATTGTGATATATGATTTTGTTCTGGCACGTTGGTATGGTTTAATCTAGCAAATTAGCTACAAAATTATTATTGTTGACACTTGATACCTTTGTAACTTTTGGAAAGTCGTCAACAATTTGATTGGGTGAACAAATCTCAATAGTTGCATCAAATTTACAACATATGCAATTCACATGCAGCATGAACTTGTATATCTTGTGTCAGTAAATGTTAGATCCATACAATATCTTGGTTTATTTGCCAAATAAATTTTTCAAGCTTGTCATATAATTTCTAGTCATTTGGGCTAGGATAACTGTTTCAAATTGAAAGTTTCTTGGTCAATTGGTTCATGCAAACCATTTATTACTAGAAGATTAGACCTTGATAGGAAGGGCATAGTCCTTGGGCAAATCCCTCACCTTGGTTAGTTCCATTATCAAATTTCTTATTCATCCCTTTTATTTATTTCTTGCAATATTTATGTTGTGATAAAAGATGCTCTCCAAGTGTTGCCTTTGTTGATCAAAGGTTACTTTTTTTGCTTAAAATATTATATAGTTGTAAGTCTACATCATATATTGTAATACTCTTCCAGTTGTCTACATCATGAAAATACCGTTTTACATTTCTTTGATTTGACACTGTCTCATGAAAGTTAGACTTCATATTGACATACTCCTTTAGAGGAACTTAATCTCATGTTTTTCTTCCTATTAGAAAGAAGATTAATTCTGTTCATATCCTTGTAGCTATTTACCAGAGGAGATGAGGAATCCTTCCACTTTCAAATGTAAGTCCATCTATCAGTAACATGGCTTTTTCTAGGTATTCTGGGTTTTTCAGTTGTAGCCTTGGTATGGCTCATACTAATGCATATCGCCTGCATTTCGATAATTCATTTGTTCGTACCTGGTTAGAAATCAGTTTTGAAGGTATCAAGCAAAATAGCGCTCATCAAGTTTGCCTGCTTGAAGCAATGTCTATGTGCCTTCTTGGCCATATGTTGTCCTTTGTCATTGTGAATGTCACTGCATAAATATCTGGTCCCTTTTCATATGTACCTAGAACCTTTTCTTTCTTTTTCAATACTCAGAATTTTGTTGAATTAAGCATGTGTTCTTTCTTTATGGGGGTGTATTTCCACCATTGCATTTCTTTTTTGTAGGCCTAGAGTTCATTTTGTTTCTCCTAACCTGTTGCTTTTGATCATTAATCTGATTATTATGCACATCATTTGATAGGGATGCTACAAAATCCACAATATCGCCAACAGCTGGAAGACATGCTGTAAGTTTTTTTTTGTTGCTTTATTTACATTTGATATTGCTAGGAGCTTTTTGTTCTAGCTTCTTGTATTTAGATTCTGAGCATTTTGTGGTTTCTACCTTGATGTGGCGAAACTATATTTTTGGTCTCTGAAGTTTGAACCAGTTTTTTATATGGAATGCTACAGCTGTGATTTCTGTTTGGAATGCATTCACGTGCCTGAAATAAAGTCATACATATGAATTTTAATTGAAGGAATTTAAAGCTTTTGATCCTTTATATATGTGGGAAATTGGAAAGGGTGGGATCTCCGTGCACTTGCGTTGCCTGTGCTTTATAACTGACCTTTTGAGTCTTGCGTCCAGTAATACTTTAAGTACTCATGAAGCAGAGAATGTATCAAGTCAGCATTTCCTGTAACAAAACTTTGACCATGGTGGACACAACAATGCTTCAACATAAAATTTTGACCATGTTGTGAATTTTTCATCTCTTGCATGTATATGTAAACAAACATGCTTGTAAGAGTCATGTTATATTTGTCATTGTATCTTTCAGTGTCTATTTTAAATTTGTGAACTACAAAGGTTAATATACTTGAGTTCTTGACCGTTACATATACACAGGATTACATTTACTTTACGTGAATACATGCATTTTGGTAGGATGTACTGTTCATCTAAATGTTGGAACCTGGTAGGTGAATGCACTCAGTATCTTTTGTGTGTTTCTGTAGGGATATTTGGAATCCATTCTTCAACAATATGCCTCTGACACTCTGTCCACTAAATTTTTAGGACAATGAAACATTTTGTTTTGATTTCTGTTGTGTTCTACTAGGCTGCATTTTCTATTAAATTTTTGGGGATGTGAGGTGTGTTATCAGATAGGCTGCATCGGTGTGATGCTTTTGCCATACAAGATATGTTACTCTGTCTCCAATTTAATTTATTTTTTCTTTTTTATGCTTGACTGTTGTTTCAGAAATAATATGGGCGGAAGCAATGAATGGGACAATCGTATGATGGATTCATTGAAAAATTTTGATCTTAGCAGTCCTGAGGTTAAGCAGCAGTTTGGTAAGTTTATGTTGGATTTTAAAACAGCTTCTTTCTCATTTAACATTAAAGTATTCTGGCTATAAAAAAATGAAAGTATGTATTTTTCCTCCCATAGTGTGGTGGATTTGGGTATAAAGCTGGCCACCAAGTAAGAAGTAAGATGAGTGTTGAAACCAATTCAAGAAATTTACCTACCATTTTTTTTAAAGAATAAGAGAAGGAAAAAGAAAGAAGGTAAAGCTACATTGAGTGGTTGAGTATGTGGTTTTTTCTGGAAGGTTGAGACGTTCAGTGTCTGTTGCCTTTGGATTGGAAGGTTGGGACTTCTAATGTTGTCAGTGACAGAGCATGAAACACCTGGCAGTATTGATCATAAGACAGACAAGTTTGACATAGAGAAGCATCTCTAAATTTGAAAGCATACAGCATATGCCTGAACATCCAAAATATCAAATTGCCCGCCAAGAGCCCTATTATCAAGAGCTATCATATTAATCAACTTCATAAGGATTTCACTCTTCACCAAAAATTAAAAAAAATTAAAAAAAATGCCATTGAAGAAATTTGAAGATAGTAGTCTGACGCCTAGACTGGCATAAGATGGACACTCTTAAATTGGTGCTCTATGATTAACTTATGATTATAGTATTGAACTGAGGTTAGGCTTTGTGTAAGAAGGCTTGGGATTAATTAATCAACGATGGGAATTTCTAGAGTGTATTTGATTTGAGGAGTATATATAAAGTTTTGGTATGTATTTTCTTTAATTATTGTCTTTATATTTTGCAGACCAAATTGGGCTTACACCTGAGGAAGTCATTTCAAAAATAATGGCCAATCCTGAAGTTGCTATGGCATTTCAAAACCCAAGAGTTCAAGCAGCCATCATGGATGTATGTATTGCCAGAGTACTTAGATTTAATTTAGAACACCCCACATTGCTGTTTACCCACTCACTTTATCCTTGTGCAAAATTACGTTGAAGAATGATGTTTAGAAACACAAAAAAGAGTTGCAAAAGAAAAAAAAAAAGAAATGGTAGGACTGGTCTCACCTCCGAAGGGCCTCCCTTTTTGGAAGGTTGGTTGGACTGGCCTCCCATTATGGGGCCTAACCAGTAACTATGGGGTGTTGCAAATGCTGCACCCTGCAGAGGGAAGGCAGTGGGTGCCACCATCAATGGTGGTGGCCATGGCTGACGCCATCCAAAGTTAACAAAAAATATTATGGGAATAAAGTGGGGTGGAAAGTTTAAATTAATAATTTTAAAAGTTGGTGGGGGTGGGAAAATAGGATGGCACACCATACCAATTCTCTAATATTATTATGTTTCTGTTGCAGTGTTCACAGAACCCGCTCAGCATTGCCAAATATCAAAATGATAAGGAGGTATGGTAGAACTCTTTTGACATCAACCCTCAATTCTGATTCGCCTACATATGTGTTTTTAGTTGTATTTATTTATTACCTTTTCTAAATAAAATGTATCCTATTGATAAATCATTATATGATTATTATTGAGTATTTTCTGTTCTCTTGTGTCTATTCTTTCTTCAAAATGATTGTTTTCACATTATAATTCATATCTATTTCTAAGTTAGCATGAGATATCTATAAATTATTTAGCATGTTAAAGATGGCTACTACTTTCTTATATAGTTTTGAGTTGTATTCTTGCTTCTTCCACATGACTTCAACTAGATATATCCATCTTATCAAAAGCAGGATGTATTTAAGAGTTTTGGATAACTCGTCGAAGTACTTTAAGATTTTGTTATTAGATCGATCAAGGAACCAACATTCCTTCCATCAGACATCATAAGAGCTTACACTATTGATTAACTTGTGAGATCTAAATCCATAGGCAATATTTGCAGTAACTTATTTCGATATAGAAAATATTAGCAAAACCCACCAAAGTAAGTTTCACTAGGGGTTGGGAACATTAGTGTTCTGGACATTCGCTTAACTTGATTTTATCTTTTTTTTTTTTAGGGTAAAAAATTGATTTTGTTTCCTAACAACTGATGTGGAACTGTATATTATTATTTTTACAATCAGTTATTACTTTTGGCCTAGATCAAGTGTAGTATTGCTTCTTAATAGTTTTTGTTGAGGGTCGTTGAGAATGGTTTACATGCAACATGCCTTTAAGTTACTTGATGCTTGAATGTAATTTAGAGGGCATTATGTAGTTTTACCGGGCTGGGATGTAGCATTGATTTCAGTTTTCTATTTCCTGATGGGCTAAGGGCTAATTAGCCATCACCCAATATAATTGTATTGCGTATTAATATATTATGGCATTATCTTGTGTTCCATTGTCTCAGGTTATGGATGTTTTCAATAAAATATCAGAACTCTTCCCTGGGGTGTCTGGCTCACCTTGATTCTAGTCATGGATGCTGGTTTCTGGGTTTAAACATACTTGTTATTTATCATGGAAGAGTAAAGGGTGTAGAGCTTTTCCAGTCCTGCAAAAAATGAACATGCTTCTTGTTCTCATGCCGATGCGTTGCACGCGATAGGCTCATATTACTGCCCTTACTACCCTGTTTGGAGATATGAGTTTGACACCCTTGTAGTCTATTGGAAGAACTAAAAGTTTCATGTTGCTTCTGGTGGAAACAAAATGTATATTGGTGTTTGAGAATCTGTCTAGCAGGATTTTGTAATGTTGGTTTTGGCAGCTGTGTTCAAAGTTTTATGTAGTAAACTGTGAGCAATTCAACTCAATAAATCGGTAGGGTTTATGAAGAGACTGTTTACGAAATTGTGAAGCTTCAACTTTTTCTGATCTCTATGAGCTATAAAACGAAATGGAAAAGTTTGACATAGAGAAGCGTATCTCAACTTTTTGTTATCTTTGATAGGTTAACTGACTTTTAACAAAGAGCATTGGCCCTATTGCTTGCCATCTCTTATCTGTTACTCCAATTGAAGATCTAATGCCAATGGTGTTACACTTGCATATATAGTTGTATTCAGTTGCCAGATATCTGGGAATATAAGAATCCACAACAGTAAAATCTTGGCCATTCAATTGATCTAAAGGCTGAAAACTTCAAAATACTAAACTGTGTTGAACTGTGGCTGTGAGTTAACAAGGGAATTTTGACAAACACCACCGAAGTTTAACATTTAGGACCTTTCAACATCTGTCTGCAATCTCAGCTTCTGTAGTAGTTAGCCTCTATAGAGAGATGTGGAGCTGGTTTCCTTGTCTTGTAATTCCAATCGGTGCTTGTCACCAAAAGACTTCCAAACTTCAACACAAGTCCATGCCTTCTATTACAAGTCTCTACCTTTTAGCACATCCTCTTCAAATATATAAACTTGGCATTATCTGAGCCACATCCAAGTTTTCTGTGCAATCAGACCCACATTTGACAAGTAAACGAGCTGAATTTGCAAAAGTGTGTTTATTGATGCAAACAAGTGATCACAATTTGCAGAAGTATAGCCAGACGAATTGTGTAACACGTAAACAAAGAATATCAAATCTTGCAACTTAAAATTTTAATCTCTAATCATACATAAAGCCAAGATTTTTTATTTATTTTTTCAACAAAGCATCAGGAAATTAAAGAACGATAACTCAAAGTCTTCCAAATTGGTTACTAGTTAGACTTCAGGAGTTTCAAATTAATATTTTGTTAAGTATATCAAACAAAAGCTATATATAAACAAATTTAAAAACTAAACAAGAAAATCTCGTGCAAAGACTAAACTTTATGTTGTTAGAAACTCTAACCTTGGATCAGTGAACTCATGATATATCTCCAATGTCAGCTCTAACTTCAAATCCCTCTCCTTCAAAGATTAGACCTATACCAGATGATGAAACAAAAAACAAACTAAATGATGTCAATTCAATTGGACAAGAGAGAAACAAGTATATTAGGCTTTATTAATATAGAAGTATAACTCATGAACCTAAGCTTATACAGCATTCAACAAAATACCATGAAAGTTAATGAACATTAATAAAAATCTCATTCTTTTTGGAGAAAGGTTGGAATAGATAACAAACTGCTTCAAATCATCATAACCACAATGTTAATATTCATCAGTCATTACCTGCCATTGCAAGCAGTTCCCTTTTCTAATAAATCATGTCTTTCTTCTCATGCAAATCCGAAGTCATGGTGGGATAAATGGCAAATCATCATAACCTTCCTTTCCCAACAAACCCACAAGTACCTTTTTAACCTGTATATAATGTCAAGAGGAACTAGCCTCAACCCTTCTTTTTAATCTCCATCCAGCTAAATCCAGGATCTTTTGAGAGTCCTTTAGCTTGCATGTATTTCCGTATTATTCTCACTTGATCCCACTTCCCTAAAGCTGCATACAAATTTGATACCAAAACATGATACCCAGTAGCATAAGAATCCAATTGAATTATCTGCTCTGAGGCACGTGCAGCTATGTTTGCTTCTCCACTTGCTCGACAAGCACTAAGTAAAGATCCCCAGATACTTGCATCTGGCTTCATTGGCATTGAATGGATAAAGTCTTCTGCTTGAGCCAATAAGCCACACCGCGACAAGAGGTCAACTACACAAGCATAGTGTTCAATCCTTGGTTCAAATTTGTAGTCGTTCTTCATCCGGTTGAAGTAAGCCAGGCCTTCTTCTACCAAACCTGAATGGCTACAAGCAAATATAACAGCAAGGAAAGCAAGATGATCAGGAAGGACGCTTGTTGCTTCCATTTCTGCAAAAGTTCTCAATGCTCTCACACCTTCACCATATGTCCCATATGCAGAGATCATCGAAGTGTATGTCACGACATCCTTCTTTTTCATATGCTCAAATACTAGTACGGAGTTTTCCAAGCTACCACAGCTAGAATACATTTCTATTAGTGCATTCCCAACTGGAACATCTGAATGAAATCCTAACCTGAAAATGCATCCATGGATCTCTTTTCCTTGTTGCTTCGCAGCAAGTAAGGAACACAGGGGCAAGATGCCTAACATGGTGGCCGCATCGGGCATCACTCCCTCATTCCTCATTCTGAGGATCATTCTTAACCCTAAAATACGATCATCATAATGAATGCATGCAGAAATTATGGTATTCCATGTTACTACATCACGAACTTTCATGTTTTCAAATACTATTAGTGAATCCTGTATTTTGCCACATTTAGCATACATATCGGCAAGTGCATTGTTGACAATAACATCAGAATCGAATCCCAGTTTTACTATATCACAGTGGATCATTTTCCCCTTTTCCACACCTGCTAGCTGAGTAGAAATAGATAGGATCATCACGTAACTCACAGAGTCCGGTATCATGTTACTCTTCATCACCTTAAAAAGGTTTAACCCTTCATCACAACAATCATTAAGAAAGTAGCCATTGATCAATGAATTCCATGACACAGAATCCCGGCATTCCATATGATCAAATACATCCTGTGAAGCTAATAAATTTCCACATTTTGCATACATATCAATAAGTATGTTATTTGCCATAGTATCAAATGAAAAAGCACTTCTTTTCATGTAGTCGTGAACATATCTTGCAAGTCCCAAGTCCCGTAAATGAGCACAAGCACGAAGAACAGAAGTGATTGTCAGCAAGTCAGGTGTAAATTCATTTACCATTTCCATAAACAGATTTATTGATTCTTCAAACAACCCCAACTGAGAGTACCCACAAATGACAGTGTTCCAACTAACAGAGTCCCTAACCACCGTCCTCTTAAAAAAAAGTTGAGCATCTTTTAACCAACCAAATTTGAAGTACATTGAAATAAGTCCATTGCTTACTAAAACATCAGCATGGACCCCGATCTTCTCAACCAACGCATGAACTATCTGACCCTCTCTAACATCAACCAAGCTTCCGCACGCAGGCAAAACACCAGATATGGAAAAAGAATCCGGTAACAACCCATCCATTCGTAACCTATGAAAAATTTCCAAAGCTTCCTCCCAATACCCATTTGAACTGTAGCCAGAAATCAGACTATTCCACGACACGATATCCCTAAGAGGCATTTCCTCAAACAGCCGCCGTGCTTCACCGAGTTCACCAAATCTAGCGTACATATCAATCAATGCATTACCAATATACAAGTCTGAGCCAAAACCCATTTCTGAAATACGGTGATGAACAATCATACCCGTTTCCAGGTCACACAACCCAGCACAGGCATTGATCACAGAAGGAAATGTATACCTATCAGGTTGAACATTCATTTTCTGCATTTCAGTGTAGTGGCCAAGAGCTTTTGAGTAAAACCCATTATGGATAAGCGCTCTAATGATTGAATTCCATAGATAGGGATTGGTTTTGGGAAAAGCTTGGTGGAAAACTGAGAGGGACGCAATTGGGTCTCTGAGTTGGGCATACTTGCTTATGAGTTTGCCAGAGAAGAAGACGCAATGGTGCAATCCGAGAGTTACAATCAACGAATGGACTTTCTGTGCTTCTGCCCGGTTTCTAGCAGAAGACAAAGCCTTTGAGAATAACGGATATACAACTTCTTTGGTACGACCATTTACACTGCCCAAGTTTGCAGTTTTCATGAATGCGAATATGAAATGAAGGCTGTAATAAATGTCGAGTCACCCAGCAGCATCGTATTGGCTTCCCCTTGGCTTTTCCCTTGTTTTTTTTCTTCTTGAATTGGAGAATTAGTTCGTCAACTTCCCTAAATTTTTTTATATTTATCTTTTGATACAAGTCACGGTGTAAACTACTCTAAATTAGAGACTGAGCATCCACAATGGGCTCCCTAAATCACCTCCTTAGACAAATTTTAGGGAGGCATTGTAAAAATGCAACTCCAACCATGCTCCCTATCCACCTCCTAAAATAGGGAGTTCTCTAGGAGCTCCTAAATCTGAGGAGAGAGAAAGGACTCTTAGTTGCTCCTTATAATTTAGTGCTGCCTTATTTAATGAGTATTTCAAACCTTTATTTAATGCTAACTATTATTTTTTTTTTTTTAATAAAGATGGACCAATTAAAAAAGAGTTATAGCATTTATGACTCTCCAAATTAGGGAGTATGGTTGGAGTTGAAATTTTTTAGAGAGCTCCTAAAATAGCTTTATTATATTTTTAGCTAAATTTTAGCTAAGAAATAGAGAGCATCATTGTGGATGCTCTAAGGTCATCTCCAACTCATGAGGCCAAACCCAACTCAAGAAAAGTAAGGGGCTAAAATTTGGGAAAACTCAAACTTAGAGCCAAATACCAGTCCTGCATGGACTGGAAAACTCTTTGGTGGAGCCCACTCAAAGCTGACGCAGCATATGTGCAAGGAGGAATCAATGAGCGTCATGTGTCGCGTTGTTTTTGCTGCTGAAGGTGTCATGCGCCAGGTGTGGTGTGCTGGTGTCGTCTCTTTTTTTTTCTTTTTTTTTTTTAAGTCCAAAATAATCCAAAACCAACAATCCATATTAAATCCAAGCTATTTTAACGGTTAAAAAAAATCCAACGATCCATATTAAATCCAAGCTATTCTACTCGCAAAAATTCTCTCTAGCGCTCTCTAGGGTTCCTCTCTAGCATCCTCTAGAGAGAGTGGGTCTTGCTCTGTCAAGACTCGAGATTACTATGACGACTGATTGGATGCGGTGGCCTGACTGGCAAATGCTTGTTGACGCTACTAGTGTCTGGATTGAAGAAGGAATGGTTTTAGCTGAATCTATTTGCGATAGTATGGAGACCATGATGAAGAATTTCTCATCCCGGTTTGCCCTAACTAAAGCAGAACAAGAGGAGATTATTA